TTTTATTTTCTTTTTACTTTTTTGTTCTCCTGTAGTACGGAAGAATTCTAAGTTGGAAAAATTAGAAAATAATCTTTGTTGGGAATAAACATCTACCTGTAGCTTTACTGCAACTTAACATGGCTCCTGCTCTAATGGTTTGATGTGATTTTGTTGGCAAATGCATTTGCCTCAAGCTTTTTAAATGATGATGATGGTGTCGATGACTCACATAATACTTTTATAGCCTTCAATATGCATCAGGTACCATACTGCACACTTTACACATATTAACTCATTTACAATGCACAATACTCATAGGAGGTAGGTCATATTATTCTTTACATTTTATGGAGCAGGAAATTGAGGCACAGGGAGGTTAATTAACACCCCCCCACACACACACAAAGGTCCCACAGCCAGTATATGGTGGAGCTGGGATTTGAATTCAGCAAGTGTTGCTCCAGTAGTGTTGCTACTCTGTATGTGCTGCATGGTAATGTTGAAGAGAATAGATAACTTTGTTTTTCAGAAAACAAGCAAACAAGATCTTAGGAAAAACAAACATCAAACAACAGTAATAAATGCAAAATGACATTCTTGGGTCACGAATCTCATCTATGAAGTAGAAGAGTTAAGTTAGGTGATCTTTAATACACCCTTGGGTGTAAATTCTACAATTATACTGATTAGCTAGAAAAACTGAGTTTTAGATTCTATAGTAAGAATGCTAATTATTTCCTCCCTCCATCATTTCCTTCCCAACTTCACGCCTTTTTATTAGGGACCCTCCACCATGATTCCTAACACCACATCTGCCCCCATGCCCCGTTGATAGGAGCAGGGGATGATATTTCACCGAAGCTGGGCCAATGACTGACTCCTGAGCTTGGAGTTTGCACTCCAGGATGTTAGACTACTCTTGACAGGTGCTGGTGAGCCTCTGGTGGTCATTTTTCACCACTGCAGGGGATGGGACTGGAAAGGCAGGGGGGTATTGTTTTTGTGTTTCCCAATGGCTTTCTCAACGTTGCTTCTAGGCCTCCACAAGGCCTTGCCACATTATCCTTAGATCTTACAAGACACCCTGTGTCCTTTCAATATATTCCCCACTTGTGTTTGCTTAATCTAGTTTGAATGGGATTATTATTTTTTAAAGATTTTATTTATTTATTTATGAGAGAGAGAGAGGCAGAGACACAGGCAGAGGGAGAAGCAGGCAGGTAGCCGGACATGGGACTCTGATCCTGGGTCTGCAGGATCAAGCCTCGGGCTGAAGGTGGCGCTAAACCGCTGAGCCACCTGGGCTGCCCTTGAATGGGATTATTATGTGCTACCAACCATGTACTGGCTTGCAGCATGTGTGGTATAGCCTCAAGGCGAATAATGAAGAATTTGTGCATTGAGCCATTTTTCAAAATCTGACTTGAGATGTTTTCCTGTGATGATTCGGGCATTACAATGAAATCTGCTAATTAAGGAATGGTGAAAATGCTATTGAAAGAGATGGTGAGAGACCCACTAGCCAGCTGGTCGGCTGAAGGCTCTGGTCGGGAGTGGAGGTTAATTTACAGATATAACTTAGAGGTGAGGACACTTGACTGTTTTCAGGTCACCCAGGGGTTACTATACTTAGGGGAATTGATTGCAAACTCACGAGGGGCTCCTGGATCAACGTTTTGATGCCAGCAACATGCATGTGTTGCTCAGAACATTAGATCTCCACAGTGTACAGGAGCACCCTTGAAACGGAGGCACTCACCTGTGCCGGACGGACACATTGCCAGTCCTTGTGCGTCCCTCTGTAGCCTCCTGCTGGGCCATGTCTCTCTTGCTCTGGATACTGTGGATACCTCTGCCTGTGCTGGTCGTCCTGTTTGCCAGGCAATACTTGCATATAATTTAGAAAAAAATGGAGTCGAATATTAGAAGAAACAATTAAATGAGTTAGAAATAGCTGCTTGTAGGTGTATTATGAAGGGGCTCAAGGGGGCAGAGCAGCAGGGGTCTGCTTTCAATGTAAGCTTTTTACTGCTTCGATTTTTTATTTTTACTATCTACATATATTACTTAGATACAATCACTATGATACCCAGCTCCCCATTATGAATAAAATAGTGTCTGTTATGTCTTAGTCCCAGCCTAGATTCTCTCTCCTGTGTTATTGACTCAAATCCTAGTGGTCTCATTCCATTTACTCTGTGTGCTTTTAATAGTGCTGACTCATTTTGCAATTTATTTCATTTAGAAGCATTCTTCTTCTTTTTCTTCTTTACTTAGATACTTATTGAATTCTTGCTATGTGCAAGGATTTGTACATTAAAAACACTGGATGTTACTATACACTTTGTCCTGTGTTGGGTAATTATTAGGTAATCAATATGGTTATTGGGAATTGGCTGTTTATTTAGAAGGTACATATTTTATAATTTTTAGAATATATACATTCTAAAGAAACTAAAGAGTCTTCAAAATGCTCACTTACTTCCTCCCACTTTGCTTTGTTTGGGCAATGGTATATTGAAAGCAGAGAGCATATTCAAAGCCTGAAGAAATGCTCTGATCAGTTTGTTCATTTATTCATTAAAGAAATGTATTGCTCACCTAGTGTATACACCTGGTAGTATATTCTCGAAGGTGGATAAGAAAAATAAGACATAGTCTGCAACCTCAAGAAAGGTAAGGTCTTGGAGGATATTTTTTGAGGGAAAAGTAGCGTTCATTTTCCACATTAATTCATTACTTCATGCGCTTTTGCTATGCAGCATCCCTTTAGATAATAAGCATTTGATAAATACTTGTTTTGCAAACAGATGATTTACACATCACCTTGCAGGGGTATCTCTAGTCTAGATTCTCTCTCTCTCTCTCTTTTTTAAAGATTTTATTTATTTATTCATGAGAGACACAGAGAGAAAGAGAGGCAGAGACACAGGCAGAGGAGCTGGAGAAGCAGGCTCCATGCAGGGAGCCCGATGTGGGACTCGATCTCAGGTCAGGCCTCCAGGATCATGCACTGGGCTGAAGGCGGCGCTAAACTGCTGAGCCACCAGGGCTGCCCTCTAGTCCAGATTCTCAATATTTTCTCCTGCTTCCCACCCCTGAGGGCTACACAGCCTCTGAAAGTGGCTCTCAGAGGACAGCTTCCTGGAACCTTGCAGGGAGAGCCTGGGAGAAGCAAGAATGTGCATGCAGTTTGAGCACCATTCACGGAGATATGCTGTGTTCATCCTCTTTCATCGCAAGAAATGTAGGTGCTGGGAGTTAACTGTCTGGCAACCATTTCCGGGAGGCCGGAGGATATTAATGCAGTCGAAGGAGGGCTGGCATCCACGTGGTTGTGCCTGGCAGAGATGCCGTGGGCAGCACACGGAGAATCTAACTGTTGCATGGGAAGGCAGGGCCTGGCTGTCCCTGTGGTGCCTTCGGACCCTGGAGAGAGACCAGAGCCAGAAGAGAGGAGCGTAAACAGCAGCACAAAAGTGGATGACTGGGAGGAGATGGGAATCAGCAAGGGGGTGACTAGCAGCCCACACCGGCTTCCAGAGTAGAGGAAAGCCAATGGGCAGAGACAAGAGATGAGTTCAGCTTTAGAGAAGTCACAATGGACTCATGCTAAAAAGTCCCTAAAAACACAGATCATCCACTGGGCAGGGTCAGGGGTGGGGGAGGCCCGTGTCCACACCTGGGTTGTGTGGTCTTGGGCCAGTTACTTAACTTTTGGAAGGTGCTTCCTTCTGGATAAAACTAGAGTGACAGTTCCCACACATAGAGCTGTTGTGGGAATTAAGTGAGATGACCACACGAAAGCAAGCAGCATGCTGCCTGGCACACAGTAGGACTTCAGTAAGGCTACTTTTACTTCCTGTCCTACTGCATCTCCGGAAAGGGTGAAGGGCTCCGTGTGCTGTGTGCTGAATACAAGGAAATCACAGAATCAGTGACTGGGAGCTGAACTGGGAGTGGGGCTGGGGCTGGGGCTGGCACAGAAGAAAGCACTGGGCATCTGACTTCACAGCCCTTCAGTTCTGGAATAGGCTGAGCTACACAGCTCGGTCTCCGCTGCTCATTTTATTAATTGATGAAATAATGATGATTGGGGGTGACCAAGAAAACATTCGGGTGTGCCGTGTAAGCTATTTGCGAAGCCAAGATGTTTTTATTTTAGAAAGAATCTTTTTAAGAAACTGAAAAGGAAATTCCGGTATTTGAAAGTACTCATTCTGGATGTCTGAGGGTTCCAGGTTTTGATATTTTAGCTTCCATTTATGGGCCACTTTTCTGTGCCTGGTGACATGTTAATTCGGGTAATTCTAGTACTAGCCCCATAATGTGGGAACTTCTCTGAACCAGGCAGAAGGACAGAGGTCATAATCCTTCCCACCCCAGCTAAGGAGGATTGGACTAGGAGTAGGTAAGATATTGCCCAAGCCAGGCTAATTAGTTCTCTTTTTTATTATCATGTCCCATGACAATGGGACTTCTAAGGGTTAAATCACTTGTTCAGTTACTTATCTTGCAGGAAGCAAAACTTGGAATTGTACTCAAGTCTGTTGAACTCCAAAGCCTGCTTCCTCGCTGCATATACACATACACTTGGCTCTTGTAGGTGAATACATCAAGTTCTAGTGGACCCAGCCTTGGTCTGTGGGCAGGTCTCCAGGCTAGCTTGGCACAAGAATAGACATCACCTTTCCTCTCTTTGCCAGGTTGTGTCTACATGTGTGGTACAACAGGACTAGCAGCACAGGGTGAGCAGCTAACATACCTGGGCAGTCATGGCCTGGGGAGTGGGCTTGAGTTGTAGTTATTAGGGCTAAACTCTGGAAGAGAGATGTGTCTTCCACATTTCTAAAGATAGCTTTGATGATGAACATTGGTACGGGGAAGACATCCCTTTGGTTTTAAATTCTTTTTTACAACTGTAGGTAAAACCTCCAACCCTCTGTCCTTAATGAGCCTTTCTCGGGTATGAGTTAGTTATCCTTTACTTAAATAAACAGCCCTCCAATAGAAGCAGATACACAAAAACTTTTTATTAAGTGGAAGTTAGACTCCATGGTAATTAACCAGTTACAAGTGCATTTAAATTCATGTGTGTGGACACTGTAGAAGTCAGAATGGTCTTATTGAAAGTCCAGTGTTCCGGCTTGGCATGTGCCAGTGCAACCCAAGGTAGAACCATACACGCAATAAGTACAGGTCAACGATGATGTCAGACTACATTGGCAACACCATATTCATTGTTACAGCTAAGCATTACAGAACATGAAAGTCCAAAGACCAGAAGACTATTACTAAATTGATTCTTACTATAAGCCTTTACTTCTACTTAAATGCTTCCATAGGACCAATGTGGCAAATCCTCAACTCTGGGGGGACAGTGCCATCTTTATGTTCTACACTTAAATGGGCCACAGAAACTGTAAACATTCAGTGGTCCTACTGCTGCCCATTGCAGGTAGATACTAGCTGTCCCCTTGGGAAAGTGCAGTTTAGTTTAACTGGTGTGAACATTTTATATCGTAAGTCTTCAAATCTGAAATTTGTCTTCTATTTCAATTAGCACCAGTTTATTGTAAATCTTTTTCCTGGTGTTAAATATTTAGGAAACATTTATTTATTTATTTTAAACCAACACACAAAGTCCCAAACAATGGAAAGCAAAAAACATTCAAAAAGTTTTTAGAGAACAGCATTTAGAAAAACAACATCATTGAAACATTCAACAAATCTATGTACAATGTGCCAAAAGCTGGCAAGGAGCATGTCTGAGGAACAGTCACATAAAAGGTTTATTAACCTGAACCTCCACAGGCTGTATTTACAGTCAGATAGGTATTCAGAAATGTAGTATCAGAACATCTGAATTTGGCTAAAAATCATATAAAAAAGACACATCCCCACCCCCAGTAACTTCTAAATAGGTAGCAAACATATCCAGTATAACCGTAAGTACCAGGTTTAGAAGTGCGTTTTTCCTTATTTTTCATATTTCTACAAACAGTTGAGAAACTTTCTCAACGGACATAGACGAAAACTAGGATGGCAGAGAAATGAGTTCTTTATTTCAACATTGTCAGATGAAGGGAAAGAATATTTTTTCATGCTGAGTAACGTAGTAAAGCACTAATTAAGGAGCAAGGATAAATTATTCGGGGAAGGGTTTCATGGGAATAAAAAATCAGCAAGAGGGCTGAAGATATGTGTGTATATTCTATCTGGACGTTCCAGAAATGTAAGTCATTATCTCCATGTACTTTTGAAAAAAGCCGGATGATTTGCTTTGATGGACAGCATTTTTATATTTTGTTCTTTGAAATGGCTATAACCCAAACCCTTTGGAGAGTAGTTTTTGTTCTCAGATTGAAAATTCAACACAACAGACACAACCTCTGCTATTTTTTCTCCAATGCGACGCTCATTAACCTTATGCAGTTTCGTTTGCCTGTTAATCCAAGGTTACTAGAACATCCACCTTCAAAAAACTGTGCACGTTTTGTAACAACCAGCATTTCTCATTCCTGCTTAAGAAGTAAAATAGAAACCATTTCCTATTTATTTACCTTAATGGCTGGAGTTGTTTAGAGTTTGAAATTTCAATGTGCGATCTTTAAAAATATCAGCTGGAAGAGTATAGATGGGAGTCCCACATTCCCGTAATGTTATGTGTTCAAGTTTATTTTGAATAATTTGTGTTTGTGATAAGTCTATGAAAAAAATTTACTTGGATTTGATACAAAATACACGTTACTCTTTGAAAATGCATAGTTTGTAACTTTATACATTCATTCACTAATATTAAAAGACTTTTGTAAGCAAGTACTTACTTACCTCCAAATGGTGGTAAGATTGTATTCCAAAAGATCTCTAAAAATCGGATAGCATCGCCACATTGCTTTTGAATTCGTGCCCAATTACAAATTAACGCCTGTCATTTTACCACTGGCATCACACAGGAGGGACTGCTTCTTTCTCTTCAGTCTGGCTTTCCTCGATTAGCAGGCACTCAAAAAGCAATGCTTTCTACTGACAACATTTCCACTAAATACCCCATTTGAAATATTGTATAATTTCATGATCACATTTTAGATTTGGTGTAGAAAACAATTTAAAAGATGGCTTAATTTTGAGAAGTAGAGGTTTTTTCTTTGTTGTTATTTTTTTGTTTTGTTTTTGTTTTTAAAAAACCTTACCATGGACAAAGGGCAACGGAGGGTTTGTGATAACTTATTCTCTCGCTCCTCAGCCCCTTCATTTGAGAAAGATGACCGTAGGCCACTCGGTAGTTGCATTTGATGATGGTCATGAACCCTTTGGGACCTAGCGATTTTTTTCTTATCCTGAGTTCTTCTTCTAAGTATATAGATTTTGAGACATGAAACACTTTGGAAACTACACTAGTATCTGGTTATTCCAGAGAGCCTATGTTTAAATGGCTGACCATCGTCCAACCATTAATTACAAAAATAGGAATTCTAGGTCATGTTGTAGGAAAATATTGATTAATGGCATTTTTTTTAAAAACATATATAATCCACATTCCTGGGTTGTTTTACACCCAGAGCATTTTCAGTTATTGAAGTCATGGAACATTTTGGGGGTATTGAGTTCTTTCCTAAAAATCTAAGTCTATTCTAAAGCTTTCTACCAGTGATCACAGAGGTTCCTCAGACAGTTGGGATACTTTGGAAGAAGGGGCTTTGCTATCATCACAGGGCTTGGTCAAGTCACAGTCGTTGATTTCCAATTAGCAGAGAGTAGGATAAAAAGGCGTAAAAAGCAAAGCAAGGGTTTGTAATCTGCAAAGTGATGCATCCTTTTTTTTTTTTTGGAAGGGGGTTAGTTTATAATTACACTACACTGTAGATCCCTGAGGGGTAATTCCGACTCTGGTGCTGCTGGCCCCCAAAGCTCTACCTTTTTCTTTGCTCTCTTGGCCACGTGGGCCCAAAGCATGGGAAGAGGGCTCCACCAGGGTGAGGGACAAGTGCTTAACAGTGAGAGCAGATTGGAGTAGTCATCTCCTTGCATGAGCATCAAGTTAAAACAATTACACCTTGCAGGAGCCACTTTCTTTTCACACAATAAAGGCCAAGTCAATTTTCAAGCTGTATCATTATGGGCAGAGGTCAGGGCCCAGGGAAATTCAATATGAAGCTCTTTTCTTCTGTCCTTCCATGTTGGTTCTGATCACACAGTTGGCTTTCCCCATGGACAGGCCTGGTCGGAGGTGACTTGGGTGGAGAGCTTTGAGTCCAGGTGAAAGGATTAGATCTATGTCTTGTCTTTATCAGCGAGTCTGAATCTCTTGTGATGAGGACTGCAGGCTGCATGCTGACTGACCTGCTCTCTGAATGATCGCCCGGAACTGCTCAGACAGATGGAAATTTTTGTCAGAAGGAAGAGGGGAGCCTCACTGACTGAACCTCACATACAAGTTACAGTAATATTTCTCCCCTTGGACCTTAATTGGAGAGTGAGGAAGTCAGCAGCACAGAAGCAAAAGTGTTTAATTTGGAATTTTGGGAAAGGAATTTACATAATAACAGCATGGCCTCAGTAAGGTTATGCGAGTGGACAGGACGTGGTTGCCAAGCTGGGGTGGGTGGGGGTGGGTGTGTGAGACCAGTCACCAGAATGGGGACTGTTCTCTCTCTCTCTCTGTCTCTCTCTGCTCAATTTCTTCTCCAGAGTCCTGGTTTTCCTCTTGAGTCAGAGAGGTAGAAAGAATTCAGGAGAAAACAGACGAGCAACTTTTTTTTTTTTTTTTTTTAAGAAAATTTTCTTTCATGACAGCTCTCCTGCCTTTTTCAGGAGTTGCTGCTTTCTACTATGGTAAACTTTCTGAATTAAAAAAATCAGGCAATTGCCCTTAGTAAGGAAATGTAACACTTAGGCTCAAGAATTAACTTTCAACATTTTCATACTATAAATAAAAGGGATTTTTTTCCCTTTGGAAGCTGGCCATTAATAAGGACGTGAACAGCGCCCAATATGAAAGAACATTTTTAAAAAGCAAGGAATACAGTGTGAGGGTCAAATTCCCAATCTCCGCCTGCTTTCAGAATCTATAGTCATCTTCTACTGGAACCTCAGCTTCCTGCTCGTTTGCTAAGCCCTGCCGCTCCTGTGGCTTGGGTGTCACCATTGCAGAACTGGCTGCTTTGCCAGCACAGGAGGAAAGTGCCCGAGTGTTCCCTCCTCCAGCACTGTATCCTCAGACAGATGATAAACACATCATTTATCAGAGTGAAGCAGGTGGCAGGTCACCATGGTGTAGGCCCCTTCTAGCTCCACAGCCGCACTCCCTGTGAGTGGCTTCACCCTAAACTCGCCCTATGAAGCCTGGTAAACTAAAGGGAGAAAGGGCTCGTGTGACCTCTTTGTTGGTGGATGCAGCCTTTTAATAGTCACACGGACAGAAATCTCAGGTGCTGACAAGGTTGTTTAAACAGCATTCATGTTTTAAACGTGACTTAACCATCTCCCCAAGTGTTTCCAACTTTGAGTTGACAGTCCTTTCTGATTTGATCATTCAACATTGCCCATTTGAGTAGTTTTAAAATTTTCTGGCAGCGATTTACGTTTACAAGGACAACCAATGTTGAATGATAGCAGCAAAATAATTTTTTTTCCCCAAGAAGGCAAAGCTTTTACTCAGAACATCACGTTAGCTGAGAAACTCCTATAATTAACTGACCACTCAGCTGGCTGGAACTTTGGGAGTTGGGACACGGCAGCACCATAACGGGGGACAGCCAGGGATGATTCAGTTGGCATGTGACAACATGAATGAGCATGTGCTTCTTTTTTCTATGCTGAAGGGCCAGGGCTGAGAGGGCGGATTGAGAACCTGGTGGGGGCCTGGGTCTTTTCCGGTTTAGCTTCTGGAAGACTTAGGTCCAAGCCAAGTGCTTTTCCAAATTCTTCCCCTTCTCCCTTTGGGCAGCGATAAGGCTGACTCATAGACATAACACTACCCTGGGTTGGCCTTGGAGGTGATCCTAAATACTCCTACTCTACACTGGGTCCTTAGGAATGTCAAAGGAAATAATGTATTGGAAAGAGACATATCTTTTTGTATATGTGAAAGGGTTAGGGATTATCCCAATGCCATCAGGACTCTGGTGTAAGACACAGTCTAAAGTCAGTCCATCTGAGCAAAAGCAGCATCTTCTCATTTTTTTCCATGACACATTTATTCCCATTTTGTCTTTGCCCTCAGACAGAGACGCTAAGGTTTTCTATGTGGAAAAACTCTTTTTGGGGGGTTAGTGGACACTCTAAAATACCTACCAGTTCTGGAGCAAGGATGGTGCTATGTTGGAGATGCAACAATGGAAATTCTACGCTGGAATGAAAACTACTGGAAAACTACTGGAGCGGGAAGGGGTGTGGAGGGGCTGGCGGAGTGTGCGATCTCAAACTGCGGGGGCTCCTGGCTGCCTTCTCTGAAGGCACAAGGCTGCTCCTTGCCAGCCCCTCATCACAGTGGTCACGGTAGGTGAAAACTTAAGGTGGGGTGACGGTTCTTCAGTGCTTTGGGATGTGGCCTGGGCACGCCAGAGGGGGGCAGAGGGAGAGCTGGATAGTCCTTCAGCGTATTTGGATCCGAGGCAAGGCTGGTTTAAGGTTTTATATTCAAGTCTTCCATGAGAATGATTTCTTGGGAGAACTGACCTCCTTCCCTTCTTTGATTTTAGGTGCCCAGAGAGTACTAACAGGTGAGTTTGTGGGGGCTGAGGGAGGAATCTGACCCAGGGGACATGGGATGTGAGATGTGCTTTCCCCAACAGGTGAGACTGGTGGCCAGAGGCCGCCTCTGCCCGTAGACAGGTTCTCTTTGGTCTGCACAGTGTTGGCCAAGAATTTGAGTTAGTTGTCAACACTTAAATGTCAGGTAACATCATATTTCCAAGTCAGAAGATCTAGCAGCCCTGGGCCTGATTTCTGCATGGTTCTGATTGTCTAGAGCTGGTTGCTGCATGCAATGGGGTCATGGGCTCTCTAGTTCACAATGATCTCCACCATTCCGTAGTGTCCCTGTTTCGCCTGATCTGAATCGTTCATTTACAGATCCTGCCTGGCTTTTCTAAGGCTTCTGCTATTAACCCAGAGAAGCTTCCTAGCTGCCATTTTAAAAAGAAGCAAGACGGATTTGGTTCAAAACCATACAGCAATAAGCACTTCTTGGGGGATTTAATGCTAACAATGGAGACAGTCAAGGGAATGAAGTCAGAGATTTGCAGACTGCCTCATCTCAGAGACCAGGAGTCAAGGCTGTACACGGTTTTCCCCATCTCTATGCAATTCTAGTCCTCATGTGTGCAGATTCTAAAGCCTGTTGGAAAGCAAGGTCTGAGTGACCCTCTGACTACTTCATAGGAATTGCTCAATGGGTATACGGTCATTCTATCCCAGCTTTTCTTTTGATGTTTTCTGCATACTGCTAATTAGTCTAGCTTTTGAGTTACTGAAATCTTAGAAAGAAAAGATGCTTTCTTTCTTTCTTTCTTTCTTTCTTCTTTCTTTCTTTCTTTCTTTTCTTTCTTTTTCTCTCTCTTTCTTTCTTAAACAGCGAGTGGGCTAGAAAAAGCTGTACAGCATTATGAAATGGTTTTGGCAAAGCTCAAAATTATTTGTGCAGTTAATAAACTCTCCATGGCTCCCTCCCTAGTTTCCCGACCCTTGGGAACACAGTGACTTTGCGATGACAACCTCGCACGTCTGTTCAAATGTTCTCGTGAAAAGTCAAGCATTTGCTTTGATAAGGAAGTTAAGGTTATTTAGTTAGTGCTGAGGAAAAACTTATTTTAAACACCACCAATCACCTCAAAATTCTATCTTTGGGCTTCCATACCACGGTTTTAGAGATTACCACCCGATGATACTTGCTGGTTAGATGCAGGCGTGTGGTAAGCTTATCTTTGTGACAGAAACTCATTTTATACTAAGGAATTTCCAAAATTCCAAGAATTTTCTCCCATTGCCTACAAGCATATCTAGTAACATTTTTTTTTCTGACTTAAGATGCATAGGATGATTCCTAAAGTGTCTTTCTCTATCATACTTTGCAAACACACTGGCGATGATAAAAGGAGTAGCTGTTGCTCTCTTGACTCTCTTGTGATACTCTTTCCATTTGATCTGCATTTCTACCCTTGCTGCAGAGGGTTCATTGAAAAGATATGCATCAAAACACTTGCTTAAAAGAGGCATAGCCCTTTGTTTGGAGAGCAGGAATTGCTTATAATACTTACACTTCCTGTCTGGTAAATACTGTATTTTAAAAAATAGGCTACAATGTATAAAACCAAGGTCATTTCCCACAAAATGTTCATGTTCTTTGTGATTACAAAACACTGCATCTTGTAAAATAGTTCCAGTTCTGCTAACTTGAGAAGTTAAGTACTAATGCTTATTATAAAAGTGTCATGTCTCTCAGAATCGTAGAAGCCTAACGCGGTATAGTTCTTGTCTTATTTGGAAAATTAAGTTATAATCATTATCGCATTTAAGATTACATTTTGACACAGCACATTACCATTGTGACTCTCAGACCTACAAGAAAAGTTATAAAACATGAGATTGTCTTCAAAAAAAAAAAAAAAGCAACTATTTACAAAAACGGGACTGGAAGTACAATTCCCATTTTGATTTCCAGCCCTATGATAGGTACACCTTTTAAAGCATGGGTATCATTGGAGATGGGCCTTTTCAGTCAGTCCCCATAAACAAACCGGTTGGTCTTAAATACACTTTATACTTTCTTGCTCTACTGGTGTGCATTACTTACTGATACAATTGGTACCTAAAAGTGCTAATCTCGTTTTATTTACTGACTTCTGGTTTGACGAGTTACAATGCAAAAAGACACAACGCAACAGTTCCAGTACGGAGGAATCCCCACAGGTACGAGGAATAGGGAGAGTGTGCGTGCCGCTGGTAGGATTATTTTCTTAGAGAAATGAAATTTCCAGTTGACCCGTGGACCTAGTGCCTTCTCCAGAATGATCCACATCCTCATCCATATTCATGAATTCTGCTCTGTTTCCTCTCATTTGTATGCACAAATCCTTCCCTGTGTTCATACAGGTCAACGCTACAGTTGATGTGGTCGATGGAAATTCTATAGGGTCATGAGAAAAAGCAGCACCTTGTCCATACAAGTCCATGGAAGTTTGCTCCTTAACACGCTATTAAAGCAAAACACACGTCTTTAACAGCTTCCACCTATGGAATATCTGCGTGCAGTCGTCCAACCGGGTGATTATAAAGAGGAACACCAAGGCTTCGTATTCACAATTACATTCAGAAAAAGCCTTACACGAGCCTATGAATACCTGCCAGGGACTGTGCCTGTGGTTCAAGTGTCAGCCTCAGACTGCAGGTCAGCTACGAAGAAACACAGAACATTCCTCCACAACTCCAAAAGTTGACACTGTCCGGTTCATGTAAATTTGTCTTGAAATAATGATCATGTTCATTAGAAACAGAAACAGAACAAACCCCCCAAACACCAAGCTGTTCTGACTTGAAGAGACACTAGAGATAATAAAAGTCTTTCTACTCGTAGGATCTCCCAAATCTATCTTTCACATACCCTTTAATTTTCCCTGAGGAAATGAATATTATTTACAGTATTTTGCTACTATTCTCAAGGTATTCTCTCCTGTTTGTACAGTTCTTGCCACCTCTCTCTCCACATTCTCAAGTGGATGCTGCTCTTTCATTTGCCAGTGAAGTCTGATGAAGGAGGAAATGGGTTCAGCCACGCGGGCTAATTCAGAACCCAGGGCGGCTTTCAAAAGTGTGGTTTAGAGTGACACTGAAACTCAAGTGACCTTGAAATCTGATAGAGGGCATTTCAGCTCCAGAAATCTTTTGCAACACTCACGGAACTATTTCATGTAAAGATTTTGGAATGCCCGAGAACCATAACACCCATCCTGGTCTATTGAAAGTTTTCATCTGCAACACGGTTATGACTGGACAAGGATTCCTTGTCCAGTCACCTTGGGGCGTGGAGAAAGGGCACCTTGGGGCATGGAGCTGCTGACAGGCAACTCCACAGCTGAGCACCCACTTGGTCAGGAAACCCACTGCATTCTTGACACTGGCTTTTCCCAGCCAAGAGGGGAAACCTGCCAGCAGGTGAGGTGGGAAGTCCGCGCCCCCCCACAGATGTGCGCAGCGGCCCTATATCCCTGGTCAGAGCTGCCTCCCTTAAGGGAGATCTCTGCTTGCTCTGTCCCCTGGAGGGACAACATGATGGCTCCCTCGGAGGTGCCCAGGGACGACCAGCATTAAGAAGATGAGTGGGAGCCAGATGTCCATAGGCCTCTTACCTCCTCTCTGGTCCCCAATGCACCCCACTTGCTACCCTGGTGTTTTCTCCAACTTGTCACATTGCTTCCCATAAATGAGCACACATCCTCTGGGAAGGACTATAGCTTAAAACTATGGCCTGATGAATTCTCCTTGCCTTGTAGCTCCTATCTGAAGAATGCCTGTCCATTAGTATGAAATGCCTTCTTTAGACAGAGATGAGAGCTATTTTCTGAAGGAAGGTGTATCAAGGGAGAGAAAGGTCAAAAGGCTATAGCACGCCTTGTTTGAAAATACTTTGGGTCCAGAATCCTTTGTATTGCCATTCCTTTTGCACAGACAGGTGTCTGAGATCCCTGGGATGGACGGAACTCCAGTAAATCAGCCGGCATGTTGTGGGACTGACCACCCTTGCCACCTGTCCTCTGCCTCTCCTTCCCAAATGAAAACATTAAAAAAACGTGGTACAACAGAGATGGCATAAAATGAATGTCGGGCTCAATTTGGCACTTCATTTAATTCCAAAATATAACAAAATAGTCTATGACTTTTTTCTTTTTAATTTTAGCTTTTACAATCAGTGCTGTAGATTGCAGTTCATAGCTTTCTGGGTGGCTTGCAAGAAGTTAATCACTTTTTTTTTTTTCCCAAGGCCAGCCAGGTGAATTTTGATGGTTCTCTAGTTATTACATGTCTTGATACAAAGAAAGGATGTCTGTGTGTGCAGGAAGCTACTGAGGGTCTGTGCACACTTGGAAAGAAGGTACACAGGGATCAGGGCCAGTTGGCAGAAGGGAGTCCCTATGTGGGTAGGAGATGCAGAAGAGTACATGTAAAAAAGGCTTTAGAAAGAAGAAATCCCAGGGAAGCTGCATTCAGCTTTACACTTCTGCTTACCCCTTGTGTATTGGCTAAAAACCAAGGAAGGCCTGAGCTTGGTTCCTCCAGGCCAGCGCTCAGAACTCATCACGGGCTGCATCTCTGGGGGACAGCCACAAAACCTCACTCCAGGACTGACTGCTTCACAGAAAAGACCTCTTCCTCCTTGTGATCCAAAGTCCTGGGGGCTGGAGAGGATAGATTTAGCCCCCCATCACTTTGTTTTTGCTGGATGACTTAATCCAGAGATCTTGGGTCAGAGAGCTTCACCGAAGAGGAAAACCTCTGCTCTGGGATTGCATCTCAGCGAACCATCACTTCCGTACACAGTGAACCTGCTCAAATGATTCTTCAGCTCTGGGCTCGTTGTGGCCACTGGGCAGTCCACCTGCAGCTCAGGCCTCCTGGGCCAGGCCAGAGAGCATCATGCCACAGCAGAGGGTGTCTGTAGGCAGAGCAACAGGACTCCAGGAAGGAGAAAAGAAATGCTGGGGTTGAGGATGCAAATGCATTCCTGCACTTAAAGAAAAAAAGCCCTTTCCTGGCTGACCTTGTAAATACTAAAACATACATTATAGCTGGTGCTGTAGCTACTAGTGACTGGTAATCATGAAATTAAATGAAGCTCTTTTTCTGCTCTCTTGAAATCACTGTTCTTCAAATAAAAATAGAACGAAGGGGGGAGAACAGGATCCCTTCCAAGGAAGAATGTTTAAAAAGTCAAATGGAAGCCTAAAAAATAAATTGCCCAAATATATGAATGGACAGGTTGTGGATCTCACACTGCGGAACCTCCCCCTGTTTCCCTCGATCATAAGAGGAAAAGGATATTGGTTATTACTAGATGCCTTCTTTCAACTCTTTAAAACAAAAGTGTACGTACAGTCTCTAAACATATATTAAATTTTCCTCTGTGCAATTTCATCGAACATTCCTATGGCTGATCGTAGGCTCCCCGTCCTGACACAGTGCATCCTATAAGGTGCTTTTTAAAAAACTTCTTTGCATAGGTATAGGAGAAACAACTCGTTATGCAGGGCAGTCCAGAGTAGGATAGAGAGATGATGAACTTATAGAGAGAGCCTGACAACTGCTCCCCTCCCCCACACCACTACCCCTGAAACCAACCAACCAACCAACATAGGCGCCAGGGCGCCAGGTGCGGCCTGGTGCAAACCCTGGCCCTGCTAGACTGAGAGATTCCTATACCAACACGCATTTTCCTTTTGGTGTTCCCTCTGAGCAAATGCTTCGCGAACAGTTCCGACGTTTTTATAAGAAAAATAAAATTTGGGACCCTCCCACGTGCCCCTATCACGTTTATATGGTTCCTGAACCCATCCCCCAGACATGCTAAAGCATAAAACCTATGAAAGTGCACTGGGAACGGATGTTGGCTTGGTGAGCTCACACGTCTTTCTGGACGGATGGGGACGCGGGCCGCGCACCTGCGGGGACAGCCCGAGTTCTCTGTGGTTCCTGACCCGGGTCAGGGGTGGGGTTTTGAGGGCGGGCCCGATGCCCCGCAAGCCTGGCAGCGACGCCCCGGAACGCAGCATCGAGCTTACCCAGGTGGCCGGGCCGGCCTCACCGGTGGGCGGCGGGGTCAGCCGCCTGTCTGTGTCCGTACCCCGGGGCGCTCGGGCTCCGCTCCGCCTCCGCCGCTCCTCGACGCCAGAACAGACGAGCAGGACAGAGGAGCCAAACCTGCACCTGCCGCGGCCCAGCGTGGTGCGCGCTGCTGCGGGCGGGTGGGAAACAGGGAAGGTCCTATTCACAATGAAAGCGGGTATTGTTCTCTGTACAAATGCTACTGAATAACGTGTAGCCTTTTTTTTTAATGTCAAAAAAATCTCAGAGATGGCATGATTCAGAAAGCTTATCAAAATACGCCTCCTCTCTAGGCAAAATGGGCTTTGTTGGTTCAATTGCTACAGAAGTCCACAGTCGTTTGTTGTTGTTTTTTTTTTTTTCCAGACCTAGACGTACGGCAAAAACAAAACAAAACAAAAAAGCACAAAAAAACCCCAAAAAACAAAACAAAACAAAAAAAACCCCAAAAGCTGACTTTTCAAGGAAAAAAAAAAAAGAGCTGCCCCACGCTGGATTCTCAGCCAGAGCAGTGAGGGTGGTGACCTTATTTATTTATTTATTTTTTGCTGTCATTCCACCAAGTTTCCTGGAGGTGCTTTTTTTCCCGGGCTTCAAGTGTGTTTTGTTCAGAAGAAAAAGCGTTTTTTCCAGAACCTGCGGTGGAGGGCGAGGACAGTGGCCCCCAGGCTGCCGGCTGGGCGGACCTGTGTGTCAGTCGGTGAACCTCTGGCAGGCCTTCTTCCAGCGGCAAGCCGTGCACCACAGGTCCCGGTTCTCCATGCCGTACACCTTGCGGCACTTCTTGCCCTCTCCCCGGGGCTTTCTGCAAGACAGGGAAGGGACGTTTATGCCGTGGGCATTCTCTGGAGGGCTTGAAATCCCACGAAAGAGCATGAGACAAGATTAAGAAACCTAGTAGGGTTTTTTTCTTTATAGATTTATTATTATTATTATTATTTATTTGAGAGAGAGCATGAGAGAGAGAGAGAGAGCATGAGAGAGAGAGAGAGAGAGAGAGGTCACAAGCAGGGGGGAGAGCAGGGAGCCTATGTGGGGACTTGATCCCAGAACTCTGGGATCATGACCTGAGGACAGACACTTGACCCCCTGAGCCATCCAGGCGCCCCTAGTAGGGGTTCTTGCTAGGCCCAGGCTTTACCACCTGCTGGATGTTGTCATGGCCACTATGCTTAGCTATCATGCTTCATTGCTAGAACTCTGAAGACTCTATTGGTCCATTTGTGGGCATGTCCATCTTCATTGGATTGAATTAGACAAGTAAATACAAAAAATGCCAGGAGAGAGTTTTACTCTTCTCAGTTTTAAATATGTGCTTTCAAGTGCTATCTTGCTTCTCAAATTTCTAGCATTCTGGCTAAGGGAATCCTGAGGAGTTTCTCCTCGATCTGTATTAAAAACTATGCCTTAAAGTTCTTTTAATACAGAGGTTAATGCAGTATGACTTTGAAGAGACCCAGGGATCACCATTACCTATTCTGCAAGAAAACTCACTGCAAACTGTTACCATCCCCTGCCTCCTCCTCCCCAGCCCAACAACACATCTTCCTTGATAATTGATGGGTAGGCAACAATCATGGCAACAAAAAAAAAGGGTGTTTTGTCCATTCCAGGGAAATTTTATGGAAGATCGTATCTCTGGTTTCTCTTTTCCTTGCTATTCTTCGGTTTCTCAGTTAATTCCCACGAGATGAGGAGTGTGGGGTTTCAAGCACTCATACCTCAGGCTGACGGTCCCCCTGGGTGGGGAGGACAAGACCGTGTGAGTGTGCTGCCTCTGCTCTCCTGTGCCCACCGGATGGTTATGTGTTGGTGACACCTGGTAAGTACAGGGAACAAAAGTTGATGGGGCGGGTTCTCCTCATCATGCATTTAGTTAGCCTTTGCCACATGGGCAATGGTCAACATCAGACACGGAGAGGAAGTACCACCTTCACAAAGACGTAGGTTCACGCAGATAGGGTGATGCTCATGGCAGGATGTAAACACCCCTCGCCCCCACCCCTCCAAACAGAAAAGACTCAGCAACAATTAATACTTAAAAAATCTTCATGACTTCACGTGTGTATTCCAAGTTGTTTCCCACAGTGACATATTTTCACTCGAATAACATTCCAAACCTTAAAGTAGCATCTCACTTATTCTAAGCCTCATGATCTACCTTTTAAAAAAGACAAATACCTAGAGAGGTTAAGAGAGTCATCTAAAATTATATGGGCAGTCAATGCCAATGAAACAACATGGACCTTGGCCTTCTCTTTGCTCTACGAGATTATTGTCAGCCCCTGAATAAATGGCTTCTTGCATAAGACATCCACACAGCAGAGGGTCAGGTCCAAACAGAGATAAAGGCTACAAGCAAAGAGTCCAAGCAAATCAAGAACAGATGTCATCCACCCGCTATGTGCCAGGTTCACTGACAATAGCTTTAATTGTCACAACTCCCCCACGTGGTAAGTATCATTCTTGTTCCCACTTTTTTTTTTTTTTTACAGGTTTTATTCATTCATGAGAGGCACAGAGAGAGGGGCAGAGACATGGGGAGAGGGAGAAGCAGGCTCCCTGCAAGGAGCCCGATGTGCGACTCGATCCCAGACCCCAGGATCACGCCCTGAGCTGAAGGCAGATGCTCAACTGCTGAACCACCCAGGTGTCCCTTTTCCTCACTTTATAGATGAGGAAACCAAGGCATGGGGAGGTTAGATAACTTGGCCAAGGTCAGGGAACTTGTAACTGCAGAGCTAGCCCTGTAGTGAGCTCTTCTGGTGCCAGAGCATGTGCCTGACCACATTATACCTCTGTCTCTCAGTCATAATAACACGAGGGCACCTTGCTCTTGATTCCTCTTACATTTCTTACCAGTCCCTTCACATCACCTGCTCTCATAATACTAAATATCGTCCCAGCACCTGGAATTCTCAACAGCTAAAAAAACGAATTTTTATAAGAAGAAATTATATCTCAAGGAAATATATAGCATTGCCATATATAGAAGAACAGACATTTAATGAATTTAGCAACTTAATTATGTAGAAGCCAACATGGCCATGGAAGAACCATGACCAATTAAGAGTCATGGGAACATTCCTAAGGCATAGTTATAGAATTGAATTTCTCTAGGACAGGTGCTACCATTTTTTTCTTTTCTTTCAATTCAAAGAAATATATATCAGTGTTATCTTCCTAGATGTTAATTTAAAAACTTAGTAAAAACCTAGCATTTTAAACCACTGTTGCCATGATTCTGAATTATTCTGTACCATTGGTCTTTACTTTTTTGCTAAAGCTGGGTAGGCCTGAGGGCCAGGGGTGAGATAACATGTAACTTTTTTTAAAAATAAAAGCTTTGGAGTTCACTATATGCATTTGATGTGGATAGATATGTAGGTCTTTCTGGGAGCAGAATGTCCCCCTCCTCCCATCCCCCCACACCTACCCTGTGTCCCATCTCTGACCAGAGTGTGTAACAGCAAACCAGAGGGCGCAAATGCTCCAGGTGTTCACAGCCACTGTAGTTATCTAGAATGTGCTCATATGAATTGTTTTAAATGGTCAAGACAATTAAAAAAACACCTAAAAATTATTATAAAATTCCCAAATTCCCAAAAATACTGCCTTATTTAGTGAGAGAACCAGAAGTTTAGTTGACATGACAGTGACACTACTTCCATCAGCTGGGGATAATGTGGAAGGTTCTAAATTGTGCAAAATTGCCACACCTCTTTTATGTGGGGGGATATGAGATGATAGGGTGTTCTTCATTTGACAAATATTTACGAAGTTCTTACTATGCACCAGGTACTACTGTTCACACAGCTGTGAACAACACCAAGTCTCTGTTCTCATGGAGCAGACATTCGAGTGGGGAGACAGACAACAAATACAAACAAATAAGATCATTTTAGTGATAAGTGCCTGAAGAAAATAAAATAGGCCAATAGGCAAAGCCTCATTGAGGGAGAGGACACATTCATTTTGGCTGGTGAGAAGGCCCCCCTGCCCCGAGGGGTTGCCTTTTATCTTTAGGGTGCTCTGGAGAAGAGGGAAGCAATGACAGAGGCCTCTGAGGTACACAGTGCCAATGGGGCCAGAAGACGCTGTGGAGGTTGGGGTAGGAAGACAAGAGGTGATAGATTCAGATTATGCCTCCTGGTTGTGATGGGGAAATTGGACTTGACTGTTGTTCCAGGTGCCAGGGAAGCCATTGGAGAGTTTAAAGTGAGACATCTGATTAATGCTTTCAAAAGATCCCTTTGGGTCCTTAGAGAATGCACTGGAGACAGCCTGGAGAGGAGCCCTGCAGTCAGGTTAAGAGGCTCTTGCACTATTTTGGGGGGAAAAATGTGCCAGCCATCTAGACGGGGGTGTGGCGGCGGTGGTAGGAAGGGGCTGGGCCCATAGCAGAATCATGGAAGGGTCTGGGACACACGGAAGGATGGGAAAAAAACGAAGACACATCTTTAGAAGAATCAAGGATGGATCAAGGGGAGTCAAGGTTGAATCCTAGCTTCGGGCCTGAGCAGCTGGAGGGCTGGTGGTGCCATTTACTGAAATGGGAAAACTGGTAATGTGCTTGGTTCGAGGAAGGAGTGAGGATCAGGATTTTGAAGATTCCAAAAACACCGTTTGAGCCACAGGGGCTGACCACAAAAATAACCCCTGCCTCCAGGCTTTATTCCTGCTAATGGCCTTCTGAACTCAGGCGTTCAGGGGCTGCGTGCAGGGTCCTGTCCAATAGCAGCACCCCCCCTGCAACCCATCCCATTCCACTGCAGCCCCAGGTTTTGCTGGGTCCAACACAGCAGAAGCCAGGACCTACTTCCCACCTTGGCCTGGGGCTCAGTTCTGTGTGAGGACCAATCTGACCTAATTTGTGAGCTTTCCTGGAGACTTCTAATAGCAAGACAATCGCGGTTTAGCTTTTTATTTTAGTGGGGGCCGTGGGTGGGGGAGAGAAATGGGGAGCCAGGATAGGGAACGGACATTTATTTAGCACTTGCAAATGGGAAAGGCAGGCTGCCTGAGTTTATATATGATTTCATTTAATCCTCAAGAAACCCCTGCAAGTGAAGTGCTGTTATCTGCATTTTGTAGATAAGATAATTCAGACCTCGAGCCGGGAGGTGGCCTGTACAGCATCCCGGAGTTATAAGTAGCAGTAGTGGTAATTTACCGAGGGCTTGTTACACTAAGTGCCTTTGAGTGCTATCTACTTTCATCTTCACCACGACCCTAGGATAAGTAGTACTGCCATCACGTCCACTTTCTCGATAAGGGAGTGGAGAAGTTCGGTCAAGTTGCCACACAGTAAGTGGTGGGGCCAGTGCTTGAACACAGTCTGTCTCGTACCAGCTGACCTTGGAACTAGTTCGGAATGATGCAAGGCCCTGCTCTTTCCATTCTTCAATCGTGCCATGTAGCTGATGGAAATGCGGTGTGCCCTAAAATAAAGCCCTGTGCAGCATTATGTTGGCTATCTCTCCCGGTGGCCTCCACATTTCAATCTTTATCAGATTGGTTTTTTCTTTCCTTTTTTAAAATTTTTTATTAGTTTTATTTATTTATTAAGATTTTATTTATTCAAGAGAGTCACACAGAGAGAGGCAAAGACACAGGCAGAGGGAGAAGCAGGCTCCCTGCGGGGAGCCCGATGTGGCACTCGATCCCAGGACCCCGGGATCATGACCTGAACCGAAGGGAGATGCTCAACCACTGAGCCACCCAGGCATTCTGAGTTTAAAGAACTTTATTCTGCAAAGATCATGGCTGATTTCTCCCCCATGCTGAGTATATAGGTCATATACCAGTCAATCTTAAATAGAATACACTTTTTCTGAGCCCTGTATTACAGCAATGAGATGCATCACAGGCAGCAATAATGTTCTGTACTGTGAGCCAGTGCTAGGCACTGTGCTCAACAATACACCTCTCTGAGGTAGACTCAAGTGGAGGGCATTGCTTAAGAGAGGTCATGGGACTGGCTAGACGTCAAAGTTTGTTAAATGGCAGAGCCAGGATTTTGCATCTGAGCCTCATACCAAAGCAGTAAGAATGTTGTGTCCTTCTGTAAATATATCAGGGACATTTATTTTCTTTGTGATGTTCTATCTCTCAAGTGGAAAAAACAGATCCTTGTCTTGGTGGTAATCTCTTTTAATATACCATTCTGAATTTTCCTTTGAGGTTAAAAAAAAAAAAACATAAAAAGCAACCCAGCCAAACATTTCATCATTAAGGACTGCTATTTTAGGTTTGGAGACCCTCCCTCCAGCCTGGAGCCTCCTGGAATGGCCCTTGGATGGCAGGTCAGTTTGCTCTTGGTTGCATGGGCTCATTATAGACCACATGTTCGTGTTCTCCCCGATTCATACATTGACACGGTCATCCCTAATGTGGTTATACTTGGAAACAGGGTCTTTAAGGAAATAATTAAGGATAAATAATGTTAAAAGGCTGGGACTCTGATCCTATTGGATTAGTGTCCTTAAAAGAAGAGATACCAAAGGGCTCTCTCTCCATCCTCCCCCTACACCTCCCTCACCTCCACCAATAGAAAAGGCCATATAAAAACACAGTGAGAAGGTGGCTCTCTACCAGCCATGAAAAGAGCTCTCACCAGGACCTGAACTAGCCAGCACCCAGATCTGGGACTTCTAGCCTCCAGAACTGTGAGAAGATACATTTTGGTTGTTTAAAGCCATCCGGTCTATGGTATTATGCTATGGCAGTATGAGCAGACTCATACAAGGTGAAGAGCTCAGCTTTCTGTCAAGAAAAGACAGAGAAAAGAATGTAGATAATTAGAAGAAAAGATGGGGTCATCTGGGAAAAACAGCTCAAAGATTGCTGTAATTAATGAGGGTCTTCTCCCCACCCTTCTGTCCATGGCCTTCGGCTAGAAAAGACTGAGCGTCCAGTTACATTTGTAACTATGCAGAACAGCCTTCACCACTCTACACCTCTGGGAAGAGGTCTTACCCAGGGAACTTATTAAAGCCTGATGTTCAGGAAATCTTGTGCAGGCAAATGAATAAATAAAATCCTGCAAACCTTGGGATTTCTCAGAAGGAGATTATTTCCATTCTCTAGGAAGCATATAAAAGCATCCCCTCCTCAATACCAGGTCTCCAAGATGTGGGGGAAAAAAGCAAAACTTAAATGGGGTTGACAGCCTCAGGGTATTTGTTTTGGAATACAAAGAGAAACATGTTCTTTAAAGAGCATTTCATAAAATGGGAATTGCTTTGTTCTTCCGTTTGGATACAGTTGAGGCCATCACTAATACTAATTCATTATCATTGGAAATGTTTAGAGCTTCTGTCTGAAAGCCCTATTACACTGAGTTAGAAAGTAGGAATTCATATGCCTTTAGATTTGACCTGGCTCTCCGTCTCCTAGGGGCAGGGACTGCATTCCTGGAGAATTCAGGAACTGTTGCTGGCACCCAGTCAGTGGACGTGGGTCAGTCCTGTGCTTACGTGGTGTGGCGTTGTACCATCCCCCACCAGGAGGAGGCAAACAGTAAGCACCTACTTTTTTTTTTTTTTTTTTTAAAGCCTTGATAGTATAGCAACTTCAGAACATTTTTAATTGTGAGCCTTCTCTCTAGGGTGAAAACAAAGCCTGGGAAAATAGCATCCACTCCCCTTGTCTTTAGTTTGAAATAGGAATGGCTGCTAAAACAGTCTAAAGTGTTGGCGGAAACATTACACAACCAGATAGATTGAGGATTCTGTGGCGAACGACTACACTAGAAACTACATGAGGATTTTAGTGGGATACCTAATTAACCAGCCACTCTATACACGTGCTGTCAAAGCTCTTGTCTGGACTGTCCCTGGTAACTAATGAAATTAGGGACTTTGAAAAATCTGACGCACTGAGATGAGGGTAGAGATACAGTGTCCACAGCAGAGAAGAACATTAAAATCTTGCTGCTGGAAAACAAACAATAGAAGGTATCCTGGCTGGTCTCTTACTGTGTAAAACATTGAGAACTTTAGCTAGTCATAAACCACTCGGGGGTTTCTCTACACTTCAGAAGGAGGTGATTTAATTAATAAAGCAAAAGGGAAAGAAACTCCATTTTGGTTGGTCAGAGAGGTTACCTGAAAAGACGTCTAAAGTGGGCTGTTCCAGCCACTTGCTACACTTGTTTGTACCCCAGGTGAGCAATATGGTATATGCTCTTAAAAATTCTTCTCAAATCAAAGGAATTAACAGGATTCAGAATAGTGGGTCTTTATAATTCTGTAATTGTAGCTGTCTTTCTAGGTTAGAAGGGTTGTCTCAAATGTGATTATTGAAAGCCACTCTGGGTCTTTTTATGTCTACCCCTCAAAAAATAAAGAGAAGTCTCCCAAAGGACTGATTGTTAACCTCTGACACCTTCCTCAGTTGATCATTGTTCTTGCCAGAAGCAAAACTGATACCTGTGTGTTCTCTTCTAATATCTGCTAACAAGATCCCTCCCTGCATTCTTGCTCTTTCAGAGTAGCCAGCCATTATTACTATTTCGTGAAGTGGGTGACTTTCATAATTACTCCAGATCCTTGATAATTATTTAAAAAATCAAATTCCAAGAGTATTTTCTGGAAGCCACAAATTCCCCAAATTGCTGCCAGCAAGATACTTTTTATTGTTGGCTATTCTCCTAGGGAATTTAATAAATATTCATGGACAGGGCACAGCATAATTGATTGAGCCGCTTTCAGTTATATCAGTGTGGTAGGAGGGCTTAGTATTTTCTGGAAACCTCTAGAAGTTGCCAGTGGTTGACAATAAGAAGCTTTTGTGAGCTCCTTGGGGAGAGCGGTGGAGAGGAGAAAATAAGGTTAATGTCTGTTATCATAAGCCACTTTGTGAACCTTATCAGGAGTTATAAACCACTGTGGGCATCAATAGTGTTAGGTCTGTGGATATTCTGTGATAAGCTACAAAAGACCCCATATAATTTTAAATGAATGGTTAGGAATCAAGTTAATTCGTGGCGATTTATCAGACAGCAATCATTTACTATGTCAAATCAATTCTTATATACCACTTAAACCTGATTGCATAGTTCAGCACTCTTTATTTTCAGAGTACCCATCAGCATGGATTACTCAAGCTTTGGAAAAAAAACTTATTTCGTTTTTTTTTTTTTTTTGAACCTTTCAAAATGACATACCCACAAACAATAATTTCAAAGTCATAAATTTTATAAAGTTACTCATAACAATAAATATCGTGTGTACAGGATCTTTTTCTTTTACGTTCAGCGTCTGAATTCAGCCAGTAATTCTATAAAGCCTTTGGGAAGCATACAGATACACCACGGACACAAACACTCTTGACACATTTCTAACAAGTTGTTTATCAGCAGCTGCAACTCTCCTGGTTTTCTAAAATGCCAGTCGTAACACCTTTTACCACAGACAAGCTGGGAGGGGCTGGACCGTGAAATACATGCTGGGGAGTGTACAAGTATCACTTAAGGAATAGTACTTCTGGTATTCTGAGTTTTGCCTTTCTCTTGCATGTTTTTATAATTTGTTCTCTAAATTTATGTTTGGCTTTGACCAGATTTCTGGCTTTTTGTTTTTCTACTTACTGGAATGCCTGTGAAGGTAACTGGAGGAGACTGCCAAGAAATGCTGAAGCTGCTGCCGTTGGGGGTGAACTTGGCCGATCCTGGAATGGTCACGGGGGGTGTGGCCTGTCCCACAGAAAACAGAGAACATTGTTATGAAACAACATTTCTCCTCACAGTCCTAAGCTATCATTGCCAAAGTAGGGCCCCAAAATGGTTTCAGCTGTATTAATAACTTAGACTAATTCTCCAACAGGAGATTAAACATAGCTGAAGAGAATAGCTAGAAATAAGCTTTTTATAAATCTTAGTAATCTAATGAATAAGAGCAGGTTTTTTGCTGATTTCTGAAAAGAAATTTTATTATATGTACATGTACCTATTTTAGGACATAGGCCTATTTGGTGTGTAAAACACTATGCCTCACCATCAAATTGGGAAATAAACAACTTTACAGGGATGCTGGGTGTGTAAATTGGTACAACATTTGGGGAGGGTGATTTGGCAATATATATCAAAATTCTTAGTATTTTGTATATTAGCTATGCCACTTTTAGAATTCATTCTAAGGAAATGGATATAAAGATGTTCATTGCAGAACTATGTATTATGTAAAAAAAAAACCCTGGAAATGCAAGTGTCCAATTATAGGGATGTAGGTACGTAAGTCATGATATACCCACAGACTGATGCTGTTGAAGAATACTTGTTGGCATGGGAAAATGTTCATGATATATTAAGTGGCAAAAACAAAGCACAAGAAAAACAGTACTACAGTAAATTCCTTTTTAAAAAATGACTATATATACATCGAACAAAGTCTTGAAGGACATACAAAAAACATTAACCAAGGGGCTTTCTTGTTGTTGGGATTCGGGGATGAATTTTCTTCATTTGCTTGTGTTTTTAATACTTTTGATGCTGAACATTCATAATGTCTATAAATAGAATAATCCCAATATTATGAATACATGGTTTGGGAAGGACCTTTTAGATCACCTTGTGCATGTTCCAACTCTCATATAGATGAGCAAAATAGTTGAAATTGGTTCAGGCCCATGATTTCAAACCAATGTTCTGAATACAACACTGACAAACAAAAACAAAGAAATTAAGTATTCTTTTTGACCAACATAACAAGAGTCAGGAATGAAATTTATTGCATCAACTAATTTAATAATTAGCTCTATTCCATTGCTCTTGACTGTAAGCCTATTAATTCAGTGGCTGGGTACTTCTACAGGTTTAGTTTTTCTAATTATAGATGTAGCTGCTCGTGACAGTGGTTTTATAACTGGCACCACTGGAAAATATTTTGGCAATACATAGCAAGAGCCATAAGCTGTTCATGTTATATCCTGTGACTCAATAATTATTCTTCTGGGAATTCAAAGGGAAAAAAACAAAAGCTACTGGCATGGAGGTGTTCGTAGTAGAGTTATTAATGATAGTGGAAAAACTGGAAAGATTAAAGAGGAGAGAGCTAACGGTAAGAGAATGACTAAAACAACTTGGTGTTTCGATTTAACTGAAAACTAGTCAGTTATATGGAAAATGTTTATAAAACCAGGGTGGGAGAACACAATTACAAATGTGGACAGGAGTTTTTTTTTTTTTTTTTTCTTTTTAGGTTGTACAGAGTAGTTGAGAATTCTGGGAAAAAAGTTTTCTTAAAATTTGAATGTTTTGATATGTCATTAAAACAAATCAACATTTAAAAGAGTTAATAATTGCTGGGGGGACAGAAGAGCTTTAGCTGTGTCCTATTTGCAGGATTTGTCTGTAAGGTCTTTTGGGACTTTAGAGTGAAGCAGATCACCTGGAGGGTCTGTCACAGTGCAGACTGCTGGACCCCCACCCCTCCCTCCTGCCCAAAAGGTCTGGGGCTGCCCCAAGAGTTTACATTTCTGACAAGTTCCTAGGTGATGTTGACACTGCTAATTTGGGGAACACTGATCATCACTGCTCTGATCTGTGAGGGTTAGTTACCAATTCAGAAGACAGGGCATGAAGTCCCAGAGTTGGGAGACAGTGTGGTTATGTAATTGTGCCAAAGCTTTCGATGCTCACTTTTTCACTTATATTTTTTTATTTAACAGATACTTAGATCGTGGGCCAGGCACAATTGTGAGATCTTTACAATATTAAGGATTTTTAGTCCTATGACAACCTCTAAGGGGTTGGATCTTTAGTCAATATTGGGGAGTTCAAGAACCTCCAGAGCCCCATCTGTGTGAGGTCTGAACTTTAAAAGGAGAAAAAGAAAAGAAAGAACTCAGCTATTAGGCTACTCGTGTGATGCTGTTTTGCACCCTTTCCAGTGCAAAAGCAGAATACTATTGCTTTTGGTGGGGGGTCAGAGTGGTTACCCCCAAGGTCTTTTGCAAGTCACCTGGTAAGCATGGTCGGTGTGCACGAGGTAGAGGGTGGTGGGAGCTGAGCGGCTCAAGGGTGTCATCAATTTAGTCTCAGTTTTGGCACAAGGAGTTTCTGTTCGGCTTGAATCTGGGATGGGGAAAGTGGGAGGTGAAGCCAGGGACTGAGAAGGTGACACTGGTGCCAGGCTGCTCAGTCCATCTGCCACTGAGTCTGTGTTGAGCTTGATCTCAGTGTAGTAAAAGTCCTCTTCTCCATCACTGTAGTCGGAATCCCCAACACGCCTGGGGCAAAAGAGAGCAAAAAATGATGACACGAACCCAGTCTGCCTTCTTGCCCCGAAATCTTGCACTTTCTCTTCCCTCTGTCTGGAATGCTTTTCCCCTGTCTGGTCTGTCTGGCAAACTCTGACTTATCCTGCAACACTCAACTCCACTGTCCACTTGCAGGGAAGCCTTCCTTGACCTCTTAAAACAATTTATTTAACCAATCAGTTATTCAGCAACAAGTTACTGAGAGCCTATTACACCCAGGCACTTTTCTAGGGTCTCCTGATAGCATGATGAACAAAGCAGAGATTATAATGAATTTATATATTTATTTATACTTTACATTTTTACATACTTTATTTTTTTAAAAAAGATTTTATTTATTTATTCATGAGAGCACACACACACACACACACACACAGAGAGAGAGAGAGAGAGAGAGAGAGAGAGAGGCAGAGACACAGGCAGAGGGAGAAGCAGGCTCCATGCCGGGAACCCAACGTGAGACTTGATCCCAGGTTCTCCAGGATCACGTCCTGGACTGAAGGCGGGGCTAAACCGCTGAGCCACCCAGGCTGCCCTTATTTATATATTTAAATTGTGATGGAATTTACATCCTAGTGGGGGATGCAGACAGGAAACCCACAAAGAAATGCATATTTAATATGTCAAGTAGGGACATATCCCAGAAAGAAAAATTAAAACAGATTTAGCATCCTTTAGCAGGGTAACTGATGAAGGGTGGGCATTTATTTTAAAGAGAAATGTCCAGAGGAAGTCTCACTGAAGTGGTGACATTTGATCGGGGGCGTGAGTGACATGAAGGAAAAACCCGCACCAGCAGCACATAGCCCTAGGGAGGGCAGGTTTGGTGTTTTCCACGCAGGGCAGAGAGGCCGGTGGCTGGTGCTCAGGGCACCAGGCTGGTGAACAGAGGCAGATGCAAGATGGCACAGGGCCGTGTAGTCCACGGAATGGCTCTGCATGTCATTCTCAGTGTGATGGAAGCCAGGGGGCTTGTGAGGAATATAAGGTACTTTTTATTTTATTTAAAAAAAAAAAAAAGATTATTTATTTATTTATTTATTTGAGAGAGAGAGCACAGAGAGGAGGAGGAGGAAAGGCGGAGAAGCGGACTCCCCACCAAGCAAGGAGCCCAACATGGGACTCAATCCCAGGACCCCCGGAATCACGACCTGAGCCAAGGGCAGATGCTTGACCAACAGAACCACCCAGATGACCCTATAAGGTACTTTTTAGAAGGATCGCTCTGGCTAGTGTCTGGAGAAAAGGGGACAGAGGGCAAGAGCCAGAGGGGGAGGCTGGCAAGGAGGCCGTTGGCGCAGGTGAGCCGTAGCCACTGTCCGGGCGAGGGGGGCTGGTGATGGAAGTGCCCAGAAGTCAAATTTGGGATTGAAGGTTAGGAGTCAGGACTTGGCTCCTCACTGCTAGATCGTCTGAGCTCCCTTTGAAGAGTATTAATTCTTATTCACTTTATTTAATTATTTGGCACATTTCTGTAATTTTTTTTTAAAACCCTTGCCACCTCCCTAAGACTGTGCGCCTCTTGGGCTACATCTTGTTGGTTCTGTGTCACTCCACGCCCATCGATGTTTCTGGCACAAAGTGCCTGTTAAATGTTGAATGGATGAAGCTGACGTCCTTGAGCATTAATCCTGGAGTCAGATTTCCTTGGTTCAAATCCTGACACCTTCCAGCTGTGTGTGTGACTGTGGCAGCCGACAGGCCCAGTGCCTCGGGCTCTTCACTGATAAAATGGGGATAATCATAGTGCCTGCTTATTGTGAGGATTAAGCCAATAAATATAGAGGCTGTAGAGGCGTGCCTCATGCATAGTAAGCACCGAGTGCTTATCGAATTAAAATGAAGTTGGAGTTAGAAGGCCTCCATGTTTGCTACCGCTCAGAGCAATCTCTTCGTGGTGTTGAGTTCTCCATGAGACATGGGCAACTGTACTTTCCCACAGAAAGTTTTGAGTAAAATAAAATAACCATCCATCTCTTTAGAAAAGATGTGTTTGATTTAATTTCCAGAGACGTGGTGCACATCTAGCCACCTGCCTTTATAAGGTAGCCTCTGTACGTCTCCCTTCCGTGAGGTAGCCCCAGATTTCATGAACATATCCAGCAGTAGTAGATCACTCACTTGGAATAAACTTTTTTCCCCCCTACTCCCAAGCCCTATATAGAACCTAAAATAAAAAATCTCTCCGTCTCGTGGGCCTTTCTGTTTGGTCAAATCAGAGGCTTCTCCCAGCCTTGTCCCATGTCCCTGGAGCTCTCAGGCTGGGGTGTCTGGGGAGGTGTCTCTGCTCTCCCAGGTCTGGCAGGGCTTGGCTTTGTGACAAGCATACCATTAAAGACCCCAGAGAGTGGACCCAAGAATGTGCGCCTGTTCTATTCCTGTCCCCACTTCCTTTCCAGTAAAGGGCAGGCCGAGTGGCTACTGACTGCTGAGTGCTACTAATAGACACACAGGCCTAGGGGAAATTGTGTGTCCCACATGGGCATAAATTTGATTTTGTACAAGAGTAGAGTGAGATTTAAGAGAAAAACAGTCTTTTTTTCTTATACTCTTGGCGGGCACTGCAGCTATAGCAGATGTGATATACATATTTTTGGGGGCGGGGGCTCCCCTGCCTTCCCTGCCAGCCAACATGCATTGAAAATGTTCCATCATCCTACATCCCATAATCAAGCTCATGGATGAAAGCAAAGGTGATTTTCCTCTCCCAGTTCATGAGAGAGCTCAGGCCTCAGGCTTCATATGCACAGACTGGCCTTGGAGTTCTGCTAACCAAGGCCCATCCCTGTGCAGTGGCTGGCGAGGTTGTGAATTCTGATGCACCCAGACAATTTAAAAAGCACAGTGTAGGGGCACCTGGGTGGCTCAGTTGGTTAAGGGGCACCTTCAGCTCAGGTCGTGATCCCAGGGGCCTGAGATGGAGCCCTGTGTCTGGCTCCCTGCTCAGCGGAGAGCCTCCTTCTCCCCCTGCTTGTGCTCTCGCTCTTTCTCTCTCTCTGTGTCAAATAAATAAGTAAAATCTTTTTTTAAAAAAAATGCACAGTGTAAAAGGAATCCTAGGGAAGCAAACACTAATGGCTGCATTTTGAATTTTGCCCACCTTGAGAGCAGCCCGGAAGCTCAAAGAAAAATCGTGAGATGCCACTTATAGTCTATAAATACATATATGTGGCATGGACTTCTTCGAGGTACCGAATAGGATTCAGTTTTCTAGGCAGATGGACTTTAAAACAAATACCCTAGCTCCTGATTATAGCTTCAGGAAGTTTTTTCTAGACCTTTAAATAACTTGGAGCTATTTACATGATGAGTTGTCCTGACAATGAGGCTTGAGGGGAGACACTGGAGGATTTCCTTCCCTGGAGACTTCAGGAACAGGAGTGAGGGTGTTCTGCGGTGTTTCAGTGGGGTATTTCTTGGAGGGTAAAGGTAGACACGACCCCCCTGGTGAGGGGAGCAGAAGCCCAGACCTGCTGCACCACACCCACAGGGCTTGGTAACCTCCTGTGTGTTGTTCTCTGGAAGGGTCTGGCTGTGTCCCCAAACATCAGTAAGTGAGCTAGACTCCTGCTTCTCTCCACAGTCACTGAAGGAGCCCACCTGCACAGACCAGCAAAATCACTGTAGAGAGCCCACTATTATTTTCTTTTAATACCACTTTTTTTATGGATGATGCATTTCCTAAATTTGTCCCTTGCTTGGCCGAGTGACTGGAGTGTTTATTTCTCGACACTCATCTCATTGAAAGGACTCCTTTGTCCAAGTGTTTGGGGACTTGGTCATGCGTTTGGATTTGCCTTATACACACTGGCTATGGCTTACAGCCTCCCAAGCTCCTATGGAGTCCAATGTTCCTGGGCAGGAAAGACCCAGAGCCAACAGGACAAGACTGTGGAACCTTCACTGCCCCTGTAGTGTGACTCCTTATCACTGCTGCTGGAAACTGCGTGTTCGCTTTCCTTAAAACGGTTTTTAAATAACCCAAGGAAAAGCATAGATCGTACACATAAAGGGCTTATCTGAACAACAGAAAATGAAGGAGCCAAGTCATCAGGTGTCATAAGAGTAGAAACCACAGCGCCGATTGACACAGTGGTTCTTAAACCCTTTTCTGGCTATCTATGTGCTTTTAAGACTCAAAGTCATGAATATTCCCCATTGGGAAAAATGCACATCGAATTTGACAATTTCAGGGGGTCCAAGGAACCTACTCTACGCTAGTATTTTATATTTTACAAATCACGCTCACATCCATTTTATTTTTGACTCCTTACACATGACCTGGCTGGGCTGATATTACTATTAGCCTCATTTTCAGAGGGAACTGAGGCTCTGAGCAGTGACTTGCCTAAGGTTACTTGGTAAGTAAATTGAGGAGGCTTTGCAAGGTTACATCCATATTCTTTCCACTGTGCCATATTGGCCTATATTATCTGAGTGACCGTCTCCATAGGGGTTAGGAAGACCAAGCAAGCCCAGTCTCTATTCCTGTGTTCAGAACTTTTAAGGCATAGTGTGGTGTATAATATCTGAGTGCAGGTGACCCTAGATTGAACTCGTGGAGACTAAACATCAAGCCCTGAAGGGAGGGTTGCCTTACCCAAGATGAATGGTCCGTATGTGTTTCTGGATACCTGCTGCAGTGCTCAGCACCTTCCCGCAGTTTTTCCAGAGGCATTTGAACATCACCTTCATAGAATTCTGTAAACAGGAGAAAATTACATTGAAATGAAAATTAACCCATCAATATTTTCTGTCATCCCAACACATTTCTTCCCCTTTTGTTAGGAAAGTAACAAATTGGGCACCTGGGTGGCTCAGTCGGTTAAGCATCTGCCTTCAGCTCAGGTCATGATCCTGGGGTCCTGGGATGGAGCCCGCATCAGGCTTCCTGCTCATCGGGGAGCCTGCTTCTCCCTCCCCCTCTGTCCCCCTCTCCCACCCCGCTCATGCACGCTCTTTCTCCAATCAATCAATCAATCTTAAAAAAAAAAAGGGAAGGTAAGAAATTGGGGTGCCTGGGTAGCTCAGTCAGTTAAGCGTCTGACTGGATTTGGGCTCAGGTCATGATCTCGGGGTCATGGGATCAAGCCCCGTGTTGGACTCAGTGCTCAATAGGGACTCTGCTTCAGATTCTCTTCAGTTCCTTCTCCTTCTGCCACCCCCCGCCCTCTCTCTCCCTCCAAAATAAATAAGTCTTAAAAAAGAAGGGTGGCAACTTCCCATCATCTTGAGTATAATTCAGCATGCCATTCTAGGGAACAACCCCCTGCCCCCTCAGCTGGTGACGATCTTGCTGACCTCAGACATTTTCCTGCATCCTTCATGGATAGTAAGTCGCTCTGAATATTTAGTTCATTTTCATTAAGGTGGTCACAGTGCCATTAGTTAGGCATTAATGACGGTATCTAACATTAGTTGAGCACTTACCATATGCCAAGTGCTGTTAAAAAAGTTTATCTCATATATTCCAAGAGATAGATCCTATTATTGCCACCATTGTATAGATTCATAGAGTTTCAGTAAATGGTGTTCAGTGAATAAGCCAGCTTCTAGCAAAGCTGGGAATCCAGGCAGTTCGGCACCAGGAACTGCCCTTTCCTCTAGGACACAATGTCACCTTCTCTTACGAGGGTCTCAGTGTTTCCCCAAAACAGCACAGCGATTGAGAGCACTGATTTTGGACTTACTTTCTCAAGTACCTGTCTCATGGGGTTATTAATGGATTAAATGAGGTCATGAAAGTGAATCCTTCAGCACAACACCAACAGGAGTAATAATTATTCAACCAGTGGTAGTTGTCATGGTATTATTATGATTATACTTCCTGAAATGAATGTGCCAGGAGATTAGTTTTCTCCAGAGAGGGCCCTTGTCCTTGAGATGCCACCGCTTGGTTGATTCACCACAGGCCTGGTGATAGTCACTGCTGTGTGCTCACGAAGCCCCGTTTTCTCTTCCTCTGAGTACACAGCCAGACCCCATTTCCCAGCCTCCCTTGCAGTCAGGTGGGGTCAGGTGACTGAATTAGGATAATGGAATGGGGGCAGAAGCAATATATATTCCTTCTGAGACTTGTCCCTCAACTACCTGGCAACCAGTATGGCACTCAAGGACTTAAGGTACAGCAGAACCACTTAATGGGGGGGGGTGTTCTCAATCTTTTGCTTGCCCTGCACCCTTTTGGCAGTTTCACTAAACCTATGGAAAGGGATTTTTTTAACATTTAAAATAAAACACATAGAAATACAAAAAAGAGCAAGTGTACTGAAATACAGTTATCAAAGTATTACAAGTATTTTGTGATATGGTTCTCCATGCACTCTTTAATTAACATATTGAATAGCAAGATCTTGAAGTGAGTCTAATGACTAACCATAATTTCAAAGCATTGTTAAGCCTAAATGATATTTCATGATAGCTGCTAAAATTGTAATGTGATATGAAAATACCTATGCTTTCAATCGGTAGTAAAGTCACAGGTGGCACTAATATTATGGTTTGATGCTGTCAACCATTATTACAGGACACGTGGAATTATAGTTAAGAGCTTAATGATAATGAAAATATATACTTTTTCCCCGCTCCAAGTTCACAGACCCTCTGAATTCTGTATACCCTTTTGGGGACCTGTGGACTGCAGGTTAAGAACCCATGCAGTAGGAGGAAGGAGCCTGGGTCGCTGGAGGAGAGATACCCCCTTCACCATTCCCACTGACCTGATTGGATTGTGACATATGAAATAAATAAACCTTCACAGTGTTAAGCCACGTACATTTGGAAATAGGCTGGTCCAACAGTAAGCTTGCCCTTCCTTACCAATAAACACAGTAGCGGTGACACCTTCCCTGAACTGAGGGTATTGATGTCACTTTGTTTACAAGCCCAGTAGGATTTATTTCTGCCATCAAGCCCTTGTGGGGACCCAGCAGTATATGCCCTGTTCTGTGGAGCAATCATGTACACATTTAGAAAACGACTCACTCAGGTATTACCGATGGGATTAGTATTCTGATCCAGGCGGTCACCGCCCCCCCCCATCCCGAAGACTTTTTGTGCATTTCTCAATTGAAAAGACACCTGGGAACTTCAGGAACTGAGGATATCCTGTGTGTTGGGGAATGGACACTTTCAGCAAGGCGAGTGGAGGAAAAATCACAGCAGGGCACAGCTGCAGTCAGCAAGGTAAGTTGAGGCACAGCAGCAGGAGTCCGGTAGCCCGCTGTGTCCCTGAGGCCCTGCCTAGGTGGCTGGCACTCATGACCCAGCAACCTAGCCATCCCTGCCTCAGGCCTGGGCATCACGAGCCGCTGGGGACTGCTCGCCAGGGCAGTGGGCAGTACTGAGCTTCATAGAAGCTGCAGCTACGAGGAGCTGGGGCTGGAGCCCGAGAAGGGTGTGAAGGAAGCTGAGAAGCAAACACACGCTTAGGAGACTTTAAAGTACACGATCCTAATGAGTCTGTGTTTATTCTAAGGAGACCGTTCACAAATCTCAGGCTCCCTGATCTCCTTGGGCCATTGATGTAAACACACGGTCTGTAAGATGAACAAAAGGGGGAGAGTTTAAATCCTACCCCCTTGGCCCCAGAGGTTCACAGAAAGGAACTCTGTTTGGTATTTTTTATTCAAAGCACATAATGACTTAACAATATTAAGGAATAAACTCTCACACTAGGAGTGCTTTTTACCCATTTTTCAAACAATGAAACTATTAAAATATTTTCCACTTAAGGGAATTAATGACTCAAACCAAAATTACATGTATCTTGAGAGTCCAAATGTCTGTCTGGAAATAAAGTCATGAGAGATGAAAACACTTTTTTAAAAGATTTTATGTATTTGAGAGAGAGTGAGCGAGCACAAGTGTGGGGAGGGGGCGGCGGGTAAGACAATTGATGCAAGACTCGATTGCAGGACCCCAGGATCATGACCTGAGCTGAAGGCAGCTGCTTAACTAACCAAGCCACCCAGGTGCCCCTGAAAATAATTTTTGATTCATTCCAAACCTTTTTGCTGATGGTATTATTCGATTAAACTAAACAGCTACTTAGCAAGGAATATTATAGGTGCCAGGGAGAGAAAGAGAGAGAGAGAGAGAGAGAGAGAGAGAGAGAGAGAGAAACTGCTCTCCAAAAATTTACATGCTAGTGGGGGAGAGACAGAGGTGCTAATGAACAGTCACTGCTTCAGCTCTGGTAAGGTTGCTGGAGAGGGGAATGGAGCAGCTGTAGATCAGAGAAGACCTCTAGAAGGTAACTTTTGAGCTGGGACCTAAAGGTTGGAGCAGCAGGGAGTCATGCTAAGAGCTGGCGTTTTCCAGGGCAAAGAGGAAGAAGGCAGACTGGAGGGCCAGAGAGAGGAGTGAGTTTGGATGGTAATGAGGGAGGGGGGTGCCTGGATGGCCCAGTGGGTTAAGCGTCCATCTTCAGCTCAGGTCATGATCCCGGGGTCCTGGGATCTAGCCTGCTTCTCCTTCTCCCTCTGTATTCTCTCTCTCAAATAAATAAATACATTTAAAAAATAGAAGAAAATGAGGGAGTGGGTGGGGGGTGGTGGAGGGGAGAGAAAGAGAGAGAGAATGATCTGAGATAGATAGACAAGGAGGGCCAGATCTTGAGGGTCTTGTAGGTGAAAGTAAGGAATTTGGACTTTATTCTGAAATAAAAGAGAAGCTACTGAAGGGGTTTAAGCAGGGGGTTGATACTGTAGGATTTGGGTTTAAAAAAAACAGTTTTGGGGAGAGAGCAATAATTGCCCGTATTATGCTACGGGGGGTCAGAGAAAATGGTGGATGGAAGAAGACCGGCAGTGAGCATGGAGGAAAGCAGATACACTTAGGATGTATTCTGGAGGCAGATCCAACAGTACTTGCTCTGGGTTGAATACGACAAATGTTAACATGGATGGTGTTAAAGACGACTTACACCGCTAGGCAAGTTGTGGTTGTGTTTTGAATATGCTAATTTAGAGATACCTATTATAGGTCATGGAGAGGTGACATGTAGGACACTGGACATATGAGTCTGGAACTTAGGGAAGGTCAGGGTGAGAGGCAGAAATCTGGAGTCAGGACCTGAAGGATTACTGATAACTTCGTTCTGGATGAGCTCATGTGGGGAAAAATGCAACTAGAGATGAGTAGAAGGCCAAGGACTCTGCAGCATCCAGTATTTTCCATTGGAGAGGGAGCAGGAGCAGTCAGAGAGAGAGAGAGAGAGAGAGAGAGAGAGGAGATCAGGACAGTGTGGTATTACAGCACAGGTGGAAAAAGTGTTCAAGAAGGAAGATGTGGCCAACTGCGTGGAATGAGGACTGGGAAGAGTCCTACGGACCATACATGGAGGCCGTCGGTGGCCCATGTAGGGCAACCACAGGTTTCATGGGGTAGTGGGGTTGGAAGTCAGAGGTCCAGGGGTTGGTGGTGAGTAAGTGGGATTGAAAGGAGTGGAGTAAATGCCACCTTTTCCAGGAAAGGTGGCTGATATAAGTGAGTAGTAATGGGAGAGTTTGTAGAGATGAGTGATACTGAAGTGAGTTTTTAGGTTGATGGGAACAGTTGCAAAGGAAGAAGAGGGACAATGTAGTAGAGATATGGGGGAAGATGAGAGGGGGAGAGGCCTTGCAAAAGAAAGAGGCTTCGGCATTAGTGCCTCCAGCAGGGGGAGGAGGGGACGGCTACCCTGGATGGCAGTAGGGCAG